TTGAGGGAAGCAGTGGTCGGCGGCATTCTTCTCCACCCTATGCTTCCATCTCCAGGGTGCAAGGGAGTGAAGAGTTGTCATCCGAGACTTCTACCATTGTAGACTCTGTGGGGCTGAATCCTTCACCGGGCCAAGTCTCTTCCCCTCCCCATTCTCGGCTAGCGCCAGCTCATGGCCACGCTCAGCCAGGCTTTGGATCAGGGGCTTCTAGCCGCAACTCTGAGGCTTCTAGCCTTGGTGGTCTTGAGGGTCTTCGACAGGATGAACTCTTAATGGGACAGGCCCAGTCAGGATTTGATTCCAGCTGTTCCGGCAAGTCCAGAGATTCCCGACATGGGTCACTTGGACCTGTTGGTGCTCAGACACAGCAGCAGTTCTTGTCGCCGGACGCCAACGAGTCTTCAGGGGGAACCATGTTGGGTTGCGACCTCAGTTATCTTGAACGCAAGCACTGCAGACTCTTGGGTACGCAAGGGTAAGACATTGGGTGTGTGTTTGCAATTGTTTGCATGTATGTATGCTGTATATAATTGTATATATATACATATAAAGACATGTATGTTTGATGTATGTGCGAAATGCATAATATATATATATAATGTTAATGCAATGCAAAGTGAGGTACTGTAAGGTTTGTAAGGTAGTCTAACGCTATTGTACACATGTAAGCATGTAAGGAAGTAAGTAAGAAAGTAAGTGAGTTAAGTAATGTAATGTAATCTGATGTAGCGTATATAGTGTAATGTAATGTAAAAATGGGATGGGATGGGATTGATTGGATTGGATTGAATGGGAATGGATTGGGATGGATGGATGGATGGATGGATGGGTTGCAGAAGGCAAGGCCATTGTTTGGGTTGGCTATCCTATTACGCCTGAAAACGTTACTGGCTTGCTCAAATTTAGACCCTGTACTGTATAGGCAGCTCCAGAGTTCCGTGGGCACCACCAGACCTGAACCAGAAGTGCCAGATGACAGAGTCCTGCAAGGACAGCTTGCCCCTACATCTTGGTTGAGCTGTCATGTTTTCCGGCTGTGCTTGATCGCAACTTTTCCAGAATGACAACTTGCTGAAACCACCTCCGAAACCAAACTCTTGGAACTCACAAGACATGACAGGTTCCCTAAGGTTCAACACCCCCAAGTTAACACTAGAGTAGCTGGAGAGATCGAAAAGAGAATACGTTATGCGGTTCCCAGGCATGCACTGCCTGCAACCGGATGTCTCCCACCCTAGAAGGTGCGAAAAACAACTGGCCTCGCTGTGCCACCCCAGCCAAGCAACGTCCACCACTGAGTCACTGAGTGCGTGCCCTGGGTGGGGTGCTAGGTCCTTTCCCCCTTCGCTTCGATGTTTATTATAGCCCCGAGGTCATGTAATTTCATATGTCCAACAACGTCACGTAATTTCGTTTTCGATTTAACGAAAACATCACCAATAAAATAGATTCCTATCAATAGACCAATTGATTCCGATCAACAAAACTCAATTCGTATCAAAAAGAAAATTCCCCCTACTCCTTTGGTCCTGGTTTGCTGGTTCCCTGGTCGCTTCCTTTGTCCTGGTCCTTGGTCCTTTGGTCCCTTGGTGGTCCCTTGGTCCTTTGGTCTTCGGGTCCTTGGGCTTGTACTTTCGAGGCAAGATGCGTTCAAGGTGATTTGGAAATCTCCTGGTCATACATCCTGTGAAGCACTGTGGCAGACCTTTTATCACCAGACGTGGCAGACCTTTTTTGTGAGCCACCCTGACGGTAAAATTTAGACGAAGAAGGTGCCATTCCAAGGTAGCAAACCTGCTGTGAGCCACCTGAGGGCAAAATTTAGAAGAGGAAGGAGCCATTCCAACGTTGCAGACCTTTTGCGAGGTTAAAACTTAGAGGAAGAAGTTGCCATTCTAAGGTAGCAGGCCTTTGTTTTGTGAGCAACCCCAGGGTAGAAATTGCCATTCCAACGTAGCAGACCTGTGGTGAGCCATCCACATGTCTTGCGGTTTCGAGATTCAGAGATGTTTTGAGATCCATCTACAGAAACCTAGAGGCCTGAAATTCAGAGAGGTCACAGTTGAGATGCTCAGAGAGGTCTACATCTACAAAGATCCAAAGGCCTGGAGATCCAGACAGATCTGCAGGTGTAGAGGTGTAGAAACGCACAGATCTAAAGATGGAGGTTTAGAGGTCTTGAGTCTTGAGATCCAGGCAGGTCTTGAAATCTAAGTTCTAGTATTACATATGCTACGCATACAGTAATGTATGTTCTTCAATGTAATGTAGTGTGAGGTAGTTTCATGTAATGTATGTATGTCTTGTTTTCTTATGTTATGTTCCTGTGTGTTGTATGTATGTATGCATGCATGCATGCATGTATGTACGGCACGTTTGTCATGCATGCATGGTTTGTAGTATATTGGAATGTAATGTAAGTATGTATGGGTGGGTGGATGTATGCATGTAGCATGTATGCATGCGTGTATGTTTGTATGTATTGATGTAACGTAATGTAGTTTAGCTTAATTCAATGTAATGTATGTTTGCGTTTTGCGTGCATGCAATGTATGCACTGGCCGTAATGTGTGTATGTATATATGTACGTACAAGCAAAGATCCATCGGAAACCGGTTTGTCAAAAATGCACGTATGTATGCTTCAATGTGTGTATACAATGTATATCATGTAGTGTTGCGCAGTGTACTGTAATGTTTTGTTTGTATATATTTTCTGATTTTATGTATGTGTGGATGTGTGGATGCGCGATGCATTTCAAGCTGTTGGTCAGTTCGAACTGGTTTCAGTATGGGTCCAGTATGTCATTGGCCAGTCCTGCTCTAGGAATCCAAATCTATGTAAGCAAGACTCAATGAAGGAAACTCGTGAAGAATACCTCATCGAAATATGTATATATATATATATAGCAAATTTGTCCCACAAAAGTTCCAGAGTTGGGGCCATTTGGGTCTGGAAACTTAGGTTCCGACCTTTCAGGCCACTTGGCAGAGCAGTTCGCAGCTGGTGCTCGTCAGGACACCGTCGCCTTTGCAGCACAGCCTCCGGAAGTTGCAGCAGGCAGCTATGTGGATGCAGAGGAGTTTCGTCCATCGGCACCTTTTCTCAAGCAATTGGATAGTAGATTGGAAAGTCGGGAAAGTCAAAGCAGGTTTGAGGAACCTTGCGACGAATTCTTTAAGGTATTGGATGCTTCTCAGCGGGAAGTGTCCACTTGGACAGGGCGAGAGACACAGATAGAAGTCGAGTTCACCCGGAGGAACATCAAGACTTTGCAAGATGAATTTGCTTTAGTGGCTGCACAACGTCAACAGATGGAAGAGCGCCAAGCTGAACTAAATCAAGCCAAAGAAAAGCTTTTTGATGAGCTTCAGCACATGCGCGGCGGTTCCTTGACCTCATGCGCCATTTCGTAGATTTCATAGTGGCTAGTGATAGTGCGCGTTCTGCACGGACCAAAAAGATCGAAAACCTATCGGCCGGGCCTTTCAATCCAGTGGAGCGGTTGCCTCAGCCTTTGCATGTCATATTTGAGAAAGACTTTCAGAATTGCAACACTTCCTGGATTCGTTTTGGCAATGTTTGTTTCCTGTTGACCGGTTGTTTTTTCGCATGGAGGGAGTGGCGCACGAGGTGCATTGGTTTGGCACAGGCCGCCAAGCAGGAAGCATCATTGCACCGGCAGGGCGGGTGGCACTCTCGAAGGCCAAGCTCTTGGCAAATGGTCATCAGCTGGCTGGTCAGGCAGTGAGCCTGCAGCTTGGCCTTTCTCCACCGTCTTAATGTGGATACCTGCGACATGATAGGGCACATTGTGAAGTTGGTTCCTTCACTTTGTGGGGTTCGAGCCTTGCGAAGAAATTGTATACTACAAATAACGTCAAATAACCATAACCCCAGAAGGTCAGTGCCAACGTATTGCTCGCATTTGGCAAATTCTATCGCTACTGTACACTGCTGCACTTGATGTTGTACGATGTCGGAAAACCTACTGGAGTCACTGCAGATTAATTATATGTCACTGTCACTCAGCTTTCCGGTCTTGCGCTTGCACATGCTCAATTCCAAGCTTGGCATATAAGGTTGGCGATTCAGATTGTCACGGGCCGCCAACATCAGATTAGACTGCAAATGGCACATGTGGGGCATCCGGCAGTCACTGACAAGAGAAGCTCAAGCTGAACGAGTTGACGCAGCAGATTCGTTGTTTAAACGTGCTTTTTGGGAGCCATATGCACATGTCAATGTCAGTACAATAAATCAAGTACAAGGTGCCATTGCAAACTGCGTTTGTGCCATTGTCACTGCGAAGGATACTTTTCGTCAGTCAACTGCATGCTGGACCGAACCAACAAGCCGGCAAATATCATGGTTGAACTGTTTGCAGCTATACGTTATGTATGTTCGATCAATTCAGAGAGTTTTAGTAGTTTTGTAATACTTGTGATTCATTATGATAGTTTATGTATTGTTTGGTCATATTTTTGGTTTGAAGGACATGCGATGGTGCCGGAGAAACTTTTTGCAACCTGCTTGCACACAGCAGGACCTGAAATCCCCAGCCACAGTCAAGCCAACCCAACTTGTTGACAGTGACTACCAACCCGAGAGAGACTTATGATGGGCGTGTGTGGCTTCGTGATACACACTCAATCATGACGATTCCCCTTCAAGCCCGAAAATAGGCATCGCTATCGCTTGGCCTTCTTTGGTGCGAGAGCCCGTGAAGTGGAGGCCACTGGAGATACTGCCGGTTTGTGGAAAAAAACATGTGTTTTGCTACAGATGCCAACTGTTATGTCAATCAAGCGAGGGGGTCTTCAAAGAAGCTCCCCAGGCCCTATGCCACAAGAATTCCAGAAATGAGTATATATAAGTATATAGTTTAGGATACTTGAGACCAAGACCCACGACGAGCCCAGTTGGCCTTGGTGTACAGAAGATTTCCTACAGAAATTATACTAGCGATGCTGGTAACTATACAAGTCGTATATATATATATATAGGTCACTCGCGAAACTCCCCGGCGAAGTTGTGTCCACAGGATTTCCCTGTCAGGATCACCGCCCATACAAGTGTCGCTGCAAAGTCCGAAGACTCGGCACACATTGCTTTGAGCCCCCTCACAGGAGCATTCAGCTTAAATTGGTAGCATAGAGACTTACGAGCAAGGACGCTACTAGGGACTCCTGGCCTTACTACTAGGAGCAATTAAGGTTCGACATTTCAGGCGGAATTTGCAGGTCTCAAGTTCTCGACAGCATGTGTGGGCATGTCGAGCTGAGCTACGCTGTGGAAGCACAAGCAGTTGAATATGAAGTGGATTGAAGTAAGGTTGGATCTAAATTAGCATAACGGCCCCCCCTCCCCCTAGCAAACAATCAAGGGGGTCTGAAGAGTTTCACCGCCACAAAAGCAATTATTGTTATTATTAGTAAGAGTAGGAGTAGGCAGTAGTAGTAGTAGTAACAGTGGTAGTGGGAGTAGTAGTAAAAGAATAGGAGTAGTGGTATTAGTCGTCGTCGTCGTCGTCGTCGTGGTGGTAGTGGTAGTGGCAGTGGCAGTGGTAGTAGCAGTAGTCGTAGTCGTAGTAGCAGTCCCTTAGGCCCTAAACAATTGATATTATTCACTTCCCCTGGGCTGGTGTACTACCCCCTTGAAAAACTGTTGAATTTTAATAAGTGTGTTTTAAACAATTTTCAGGTCAGAATTCCATGAATCAAGCAAACCTCAGGAGAGTTAAGTAAGGATCTTAAAGGGTGAGCAATAGCAGAACGATAGAAAAGCAAACAAACCTCAAAAAAGCACCCATGGGTGAAAATACTTTACTGTATATTTTTCCGACCAATTAAACCAATCAGAGTGTGTGAAACATTTGGTGAACACATGCGAAAACTTTGTATTATTCCGTCCCATTATACTTATTTACAGCCTTCGGCATGCCGCCGGCCACCAGCTCGAGCCCGCATTGGCAGGCAGCTTAATGATACAATACCCTGCTCAATCATACATTTGGCTGGGTGAGTTTGTTGATGTTTATTTCAAGTTGTTTGACCATGAAATGGATCAAATCCGAATCAGAGGTTGTCTATTCTGATCCAGCGATCCGAACCGGCATGTCTCAGTCGAATCACCTAAGAGGAACCAAGTGAAACCAACACAAGCAATGCGAACCAAGACTATCCACAAAACATGACCTTGAAAACGATTCTTCTTCCAAACTACTTGGCCGTGTGAATGTTTTCCTTTTCAGATCTTTTTTTCGACCATCTCGAGGGATTGCGACACGCACCAGATATTCTTTTTCACACACAGAAGGCTTCAAAGCGACCGAAGAATTTCTAGATCTGGCATGATTTGTCGTTTTGTTCTCCAAACCGTTTGAAATGAAAGACCCAGAATGACATCGAACAACAATACCCTGCTCAATCAGACTTGTGGGTGCATTGGAGTTGCACATTTTGCTGGGAGAGTTTGTTGCTGTGGATTTCAAGCGAAGTCGTTTTACAATGAAATGGAACGAATCCTAATCAGAGGTTGTCTATTCTGATCCAGCGATCGACATGTCTCAGTCCAATGGTTGTCTATTCTGATCCAGCGACCTACTACCTACTACCTACTACGTACCACCTACTACCTACGACCTACGACCTACGACCTATACTACCTACTACCTACGACCTATGACCGACGACCTAGGGCCTACTACCTACTACCTACTACGTACCACCTACTACCGAGTACCTACTACCTACTACTACTACCACCACCACTACGGGGGGGGGGAATGGGGGGGGCGTCAGGCTGTCGAAAATCTCGCGCGGAGAGACAATACTCAAGCAATACTAACCAATACAAGCAACACTAACCAAAACAATCCACAAAACACGCCGGCAGGCCGGCGGATTAGGATGCAACATTAGTAAGTACGTCACAACCGCTGGAGAAGCATGCTTTGGCCTTCCTCATGCGATCTCCAGGTCATTCAGCCACTTCCATCAGATCTTCAATCGTCGTTGTTACGCATTAGCGCAGCGGCATCCTCTATCGATACATTCAGGCCAACAGGGCTGAAGAGAACGCTTGTGTACCACTCCAAGTAGTTTTTGTGATTCTTTTGGTGCAAAGGTTGCAGTGTGTGTGTGTGTGTGTGCGTGTCAAAGTTGCTTTTGCTTTGCCAATTTGCCGTTACACCCGGTGCTTTGCGGGTCAATAACTTGGCCGGTTTCTCCACCCTCAGGTTTTGGAGTAGTGGCTCACGGCCAAAGCGCTGGGAAAGGCTTCATCCTCTCGAGCCGCTGAAAAGCACAAATGAAAGCGATTGATGCTCTCACTGTGACCATTCCTGAAAATCCTACCGCACACATCCGCACACGATCTAGTTTCCTGGCGCTTGTGTTGGCTCAAGCCCAGTCTAAGTGTATGCTGTCAGTGCCTTGGAGGCCATGGTTGCGATGGTATCTTCTTTTTTGAGCAAGGTTGTATTCCATTCCGTGTGCGTTGAGCAGGAATGAATATCGAAACAGATGGTGTGAGGCAACGCTTAATCCACACCGCATCCCAAGTTCTGAAGCTGCACGGAGGCCTTTTACCTGCTTCCCTTCTGGGAGATGAACTTCGGCGTCATTATCCGGCACTCTGGAAAGATTGGAAGTCGCACGGCGATACAAGTTCTGGCGGCTTGCTGCGCTTGTTGGAAACTTGTGCAGCTGGCTTTTCTGTGGAGCGCCCAGAGCAGGCCAGAGAACGTGGAAGAGTGCATCAGCCGCATGAGAGGTCAGAGGAATGTCAAGAACCTTTAGTGAGATTGGTTTGCGAGGCGCAGGGGCCAGAGTGCACTGTCAAGGTTAATTTGTCAGAGCACTCGGAGTTTCATGAATCAGTGAGGAAGGCCATGGCCGATCGTTTTGTGAAGCATCCTGAAGGAAGCAAAGGCGGCTCAGTGCCGGTTGCTTGGCTGACAATTGCTTGCGAAAAGGAGCTGCTTCGACATATACGTTATTTCCCTCAGTATGAGCAGGACATGTCGCAAACTTCACCACACCTGGCATATCTTTTTGAAGGTATGTTACCTGGCACAGTTACCTCGCAAACTCCCAAAGCTCTGAGAAAAACACGCATGGCTTGTCGCTTGATCGCCTTAATGGCTGAGGCTCCGGGTACTTTTCAGCTGAACTCGCAGCCAAATACGGAGACTGCAAAGGATTTCTTGTGTGATTTGATTACGCTCAAGCAATCTGGTATGCCCAAGGCGTGTAACAACCCCTTAGATACCTTAAGTTCTTTGACCATGCGCCCCAACGCCATTGGTGAAGGTCGGCGTGCGTGGCGTCGTGCTCTTCCTTCTGAGATGCCTCGGAATGCATCAGAGCTGACCTCCAAAATCTGCCGCTTGCCACAGGCAGATGTGTGGGTGCTGCTTTTGCGTTGCCAAGGCACAAGAAGCAAGGAAGCTCAACTGATGGTCTTGGAGTTTCAAGCTGCTGCCACAGGGCTTGGGGTTTGCGCATCCAGCCTCCACGAAGTTGCAGTGGGCATGTTTGCACTTGAGGTTTCTGGCCAGGCGGAGGCAAAGTTTCTCCAGTTGGCTCGTCACTTGACATCGGTTCGCAGGCCACCTATTCGACTCTATCGGCCCGAAGCTTTCCCAACTGCTGAAGCATTGGCACAATACGTGCCAGAAATTTTAACACAAATGAAAGCCGAATCGTGGTGGTTGGAAGTTGAGCTTCGGGAAACTCCGACCAATCATGCGTCATTGCCACTGAAGCATTGCCCCGGAGCAGTGCTTGCTCTAAAAGTCACTGCCCATGTTGCCAATGTGGCGAGTCATACTGTGGAAAAACTACAAGAGTGCGAAGAGCGTGGCGAAAATCATTTGCATTTGGTAGCTTTGGAGGCGAATGGTGGTGCACTGCTGCTAGGACAAGAGGTGCCTGTAGAGCTAAACCAAGACGAGCTGCAACTGCGGCCATGTGGCTTGCCTTTGGCGTGGCATCAATCTTGGCAATCGAGACCATTCCACTTTTCCGCTGGCCTGGATTCTTGGGTTGCAAATGCAGTTGTTTCCCTCGCCGCAATGGAAAGCCAACAGTGTTCGGGCTTTGTCCCCATAAACTTTTTGGACCCTTGCTGTGGAAGCGGTACCTTGGCTGCGGTTGCAGCCGCCTCTGGCGCGTTCACGCGTGTGCTTGCTCGAGATGTTGATGCAAAGTTTGTCGAGCGTGCCAAAGAGAATTTTGCTTCGGCAGATGCGCAGTCCCGCTGCAGATTGATTGACATCAATGTTCACGATGGATCCACCTCCTTTGGGGAGATACAGGCGGATGTCATAGTCGTAAACCCGCCGTGGGGCTGGCGCATTGGTTCCAGCATAGCGTCAGAAAAAATTATTTTGAATCTATGTCATGAGTTTCCCAACGCGGTGGTGGCAGTCATTTGCCCAGAGATACCACTATCAGAACTTGTGGACGCACATTTTGAAATAAGATGGAGCTGTCCTTTGGGCCAGAGTGCCGTTTGGATTTTGGTACCAACGCGCCCGTCGTAACAAGGTTTGCGCCACACAGACGGGATGATGGATGATGCATGATTCACTTACACAACGTTGTGCACTTGCCCTTCAAGCATGAGGGGAATGCACACATTCAAGTCACTTTTTAGAGTAACGTCAGTTAGGGTGTTCAACAGCAGTGTTCAGTTCGGAACCTGCAATACACTCGAATACTGTAAAAGGCTTGTTACACGCAAACGGCAAACGTGCACTGGCAAGCCCAACTTCCTCTGGAGATCTCTGGGGCATGTTATGCCCTCCGAGCCTACTTGGGTAGCAGCCCTACTATCAATTTTGCACAGGCAATCCTAGTAGTGTAATCCCTTCGGTATTGTACAGGGCCGCAACTGAAAGCATTCTGGTCTGATTGTTTTTATCAGCTCCCAGGAGTTACGATGGTGGTTTAAGGGCCCGGAAAATGAATCAAGTTCTATATATCTATATATGTTTTTCCCCACTTGTTAGGTGAGGGTTGTTAGATTCTATGTCAGCTGCCTTCCTCCTCCGCGTCCGCCATGGCACCGTTCCCCGCCAGACCTCGCAGACCTCAACCGCCAGCTCCGGATGGCAGTGTTCCCCGCCGGACCTCAACCGCGATTTCCGCTTGGCAAGGTTCCCCGCCGGACCTCAACCGCGAGCTCCGGCTGGAAGCATTCCCCGCCGGACCTCAACCGCGAGTTCCGCTTGGCAGCTGCCCTTTTTGACAGCATCTCCTGATAGTAATAGGCGGCATGCCGACATGACTTGGCATGTTTTGGCATTACCCTTTCACGCTTGCTTCAGGTGTTTAACTGGCCTGTTTGACTGGGGTCTCAGTCTCTGCCATGAAAAAATGGGACCACAGCACCATTCGGCGTAAACTTCAATTATAAAAATACAGTCTGTGCTTGGAAGATTTGGGCCTTGGTTCCAAAGAAGCTATTTTAAAATGTGGGGCTGATGCTGGAGAAGGTTCTCTAAAATAGAGTCAGTCGTTAGTACAATGGCATACAATGGCTTTGAACCTCAGAATTGGTCGATTGAATTTTATTATCTTGGGTGTGCCTTTTTTTGACTTTGTGACTATGTATATGTGATACTGGCTGCCTTATCTCTATTCCGAGTGACAACGTACAACACTCAAATATATAGAATATCTTTAAACAACCGTTGATAAATGATAAACACATAAAAGTTGGGAAGGGACGGTCAGAGATTATATAGAGGTTGGAACACTGCAATTTTTTGTCAAATGTTGCATGGCACCAAACCAAGCCCGCCAAGAGCCACCCAACCCAGCAAGAAAACGTTAGAATTAGAATTGTTTTACAGGCTGAAAGAGGTATGTGTTGCATTTTAGTTGGTGGATTTGGTTTTGGGTTGGCTGATTTCCCCAAACCAAAGTTGACCCTCCAGATGGGCACGGAGGATTTTGCACTGGAATACTGAATGAATACTGAATACTGTTGAATACTAGTTGAATACTGTTGTATTCTATTTTTCCGGAGCTGGAGTTGCACTTTTTTTGCACTTTGGTGTCACCTGTATGCACTTCAGTGCACTTTTGTGTCACTTCTTTGCACTTCAGTGCACTTCAAATCTTATTGGTGATGAAATCTGCGGGCACATCAGCTTTTATCCTATTTGTGTCAAAAAAGTGCACAAATATTAGCAGACTTGTGTTTATGACAGAGACTGGGCACAAGTTCCATGTCACAGGTCAATGCAAGCATGTGGAGGACGGATTGAAAGTTTGCTACGTTACATTGTGCCCAAAATGTGTCAGCGAAAGTGATATGTATTACAACTTGTCACCACTCGACTGCAATACTTTGCTCTATGAATTATGAATCAGGTTCTTCACATGGTGCCCGCCAAAAGTTGTTGGGCAAGTTGGCATAATTAATTGCGAGCGATCCCTTTGAACATGTCTCTTTGATCAAAAAATGTGTATTTCCGGCCTGCGACATTCCTTGATATTTTCAAGCATGTTTTGACTGCTATGATTCCATGTCATGGGACTCAGGCTTGCAGCACAGTAAACTGAATAGCAGTGCACTTCGTACGTGCCAGCCGGGTGAATCATAATGAAATCAACATCGGATGGCCATGACTTGTTTGATGAGGTTGATGCTTATTGAGCCGAATGTCTTGTCGCGCATTGTTCAATTTTAACCTAGACCAAACATGGAGCCCTACTGCATTTTTGACTGAGCTTGATGTTGTTTGGAATCCATGCCAGCGCAGTGCTCTTCAGCCAAACCCTGACTAGTTTCAAAAAACTTATATACTTGTTACGGTTCCAGTGCTCTTCAGCAAAAACTTGACTAGATTCAATAATCTTATAGTAACAGTCCCTGCCAGCACAGCGCTCACCAAAAAATTTACCTGTAACTATTATTACTATTCAAAAATCTTACAATCCCTGCCAGAACAGCCAAAACTTGACTAGGTTCAAAAGATTACTCAATGCCTTCAGCCAATACTTGACTAGTTTCAAAAACCTTACTTTGTCACAATCCCTGCCAGCGCAGAGCTCTCTTCAGCCAAAACTTTCTGGTTTCAAAAACTTTCAACGAGGCCAGGAGCACTGTGCTCCTGGCCTCGTCGATTATCGTAAGGAACCGTTTGTACTTCATTCTGTTTTGTAAGTTGGCTTGTCGCTCGACTCGTCAACTTATCGCAAAAGGAAATGTTGAACTTTCATTTTGTTTGCAAGTTCACTGCAAATTCACTCGTGTCTCCACTCGTGGACTTACTCGTGAAAACACTTTTGGTTCACTCATACTTTTA